AACTCAGTTGATCTCAACTGATATAAATTGGAGTATTTAAGGAAACACTGGGTATTACACTTCCCCCTTAAATAAAACCCGTCCTCAAATTTAAATATTACCTGAAAGAGATGAGGATAAGCTTCTCGCATCTCTGACTCTAATTCCCAAGTGGCATCACCCGGATGTGATTCGTCCCACTAAACCTTAATAAGAGGAATTTCTTTATTTCTCAACACCTTAGTCTCTCTTCCCACAACACAACTTGGTTGTGGTTCAAAAGTTAAATCTGCTTCTATCTCCATTGTATCTGGAAGAATTGGCTGAAGAGGATCAGGAATAAACTTCCGGAGTTGAGACACGTGGAAAACATCATGCATCTCAGATAGAAAAAGCGGTAATGCTAATCTATAAGCTATTTCACAAATCCTCTCTATAATCTGATATGGTCCCACATATCTCAGACTTAACTTTCATGACTTAAACGATCCTTTCAATCTCAACCTTGAATTAACTTTCAAAAACACATGACCACCTTCTTCAAATTCCAACAGTCTCCTTCGGTTATCCGCATAACTCTTCTAACGGTCTTGTGCTTTCTTTACCTTATCATGAATCATTCTTATCTTTTCCGTCGTTTCTTGAATAACCTCCGATCCTAAAATTCTTTCTTCACCAACTTCCGTCCAACACAAAGGTGTCCTACATTTCCTTCCATACAAAGCTTCGTAAGGAGCCACACCAATGCTTGCGTGGTAACTATTGTTGCAAGCAAACACAATCAACAGTGAAATCTCTTTCCAATTTCATCCACTTTCAAGTGCACAAGCTCTTAACATGTCTTCCAAAGTTTGTATCGTCCGTTCCATTTGACCATCCGTTTGAGGATGATTTGACGTACTCAAACATAACTTATATCCTATTGCTTGTTGAAAAGCTCTCCAAAACCTTGAAGTGAACTTCAGATCTCTATCAGATACAATGTTGGAGGTAACAACATGAAGTCTCACAATTTTTGCAATAAACAACCTCGCAATATGCCTTTCCTTGTAAGTGGTCTTCACGACCAAGAAATGTGTTGACTTCGTCAACCGATCTACAATCACCCAAACATAATCATAACCACCTTGTGTACGAGGTAACCCAACCATAAATTCTATTGAAATACTATCTCATTTCCACACCGGAATCTCTAACGGTTGTAACAAGCCACCTGTTCTTTGGTGTTCAATTTTCACTTGTTGACATACTGCACATTTCAACACATACTCTGTGATGTCCTTTTTCATCTCGGACCACCAATAATCCTTTTTCAAGTCCTGGTACATCTTAGAGGAACCAGGATGTATAGTAAAAGCGCCTTTATGTGCTTCTTCAAAAATCTTCCTTTTTAGTACCGTATCATCTGAAACACAAATCCTTTGATTAAATAGAATAACTCCATCTATGGCTCGTATGAAACCCGGTTGAACCAAAATGTTTTGTAACTTCGTATCTAGCAATTGACCTTGTTGGATTTCATCTCTCAAAGTAGAATTAACATTCAAGTTTCCTATTATCACACCATCCGGAGTCCAAATAAATTGAAGATTAAGATCTCGAAACTTTTACGACAATGCATACTCACAGATCATCAGCTCGACTTTATGTACTTCCTTCTGACTTAATGCATCCACCACTTTGTTTGCCTTGCCTGGATGGTAATTCAACTCAAAGTCAAAATATTTAAAGTAATCCATCCATCTCTTTTGACGCATGTTCAACTCCTTCTGATCAAAAATATATTTTAAACTCTTATGATCGCTGAACATTTCAAAACACACTCCATACAAGTAATGGCGCCACACCTTCAGTGTAAAAACAACAGCCGCTAACTCTAAATCATGAGTTGGATAATTCTCTTCATGAACTTTCAATTGACGTGAAGCATAAGATACAACCTGACCACCTTGAATTAACACACCTCCCAAACCCCTCTTAGAAGCATCACAAAATACTTTATAGGGCTTACTAGGGTCAGGAATAATCAAAACAGGAGTAGTTGTCAATCTTTCCTTCAAATTCATAAAACTTTGTTCGTAACCTGAATCCCAACTATACGGAAACTCCTTTCGGGTAAGTCTAGTCATCGGTAAAGCCAACTGAGAAAAGCCTTTGATGAAACTTCTATAGTAACTTGTTAATCCTAAGAAACTTCTAACTTTTGAATTATTCTTCGGTCTCTCCCAATTAATTAGCACTTTAACTTTTGATGGATCTACTGCCACAACTACTTGAGATATCACATGGCCAAGAAATCTAACTTTCGCATCCAAAACTCACACTTGCTTAACTTAGCAAAATGTTGTCTCTCTTGCAAGATCGATAGAACGATTCTTAAGTGCTCTTGTGGAGTACGAGAATAAATAAGAATGTCATTAATAAAAATCACCACAAATTGGCCCAAGTAAGGTTGTAATATCTGGTTCATGTAATCCATGAAATAGCTAGAGCATTCATCACACCGAAAGGCATCACAAGAAACTCATAATGGCCATAACGGGTTCTAAATACAGTCTTTGGTACATCTGAACTCTTCACGCGAATTTGATGATATCTTGACTGTAAACCAATCTTTAAGAACACACAGACTTCTTTCAATTGATCTAGCATGTCATCTATCCTAGGAAAGGGGTACTTATTCTTGATGGTGACTTTATTCAACTAGCGGTAAATAATACATAATCGTGTTCCTCTATCCTTCTTCTTTACTAGTAATACTAGAGACGATGGTCTTCCAACAAACCTTCAACTTCCCAGCGAAGCTCAGATTGGTCAGGTAACACGTTCTTTGACTCCTCTCTTCATCTGCTTCTTCTTTTTCATTTCTTCTACTTCTTCCGACTCTCTCTTATAAGCGGTGCTGCTACTACAATGATGATTCGAGGATGAAGGCTTAAGCTTAATTCAATTAGAGCTTCAAGGAGAATCTCTAAATTGCTAAAAATGGAGTTTTAAGTGAAGGTTTGGAGATTGAGAGTGGTTGCGGAGTGCGGATTTCTCTCACAATGTGGAATATTTTGTAATCAATTATAGGTTTTCTCTGTGTAATGGTTGATGGTTAAGTAGTGAAATGAGCTGGCTTAAATAAGATAAGATTAGGTTAATTGTGAGTGTGTAAGATTGATCAAGTGTGTGAAAAGTGAATTAGTGAGATATTTTGATGAAAATGATGAATGAGATGATAATGGATGAAATGAAGTAAAATTGGAAAGAAAAGTCTTCAACACCAAGTGAATGAAATGAATGAACCATAACCAAATTAAACAATTAGACCAAATGGTTAACTTTTTATTGACTTTGGTCACTAAGGTATGAAGTTGTGATTCAAAGGTCATGAAACGATATATGATTATGTGGAATGAATTGGTGAATGAAGTCATGACATAAGGACCTCTCATCTTAGCATCAGATGAAACTTAAATGCCTACATCCAGATGATATGAGAAGGGTGGGGAAAAAATTGGGGTATGACAGAGATCAACGCCTCACTTGAGGGACTTTGAGTCTCATTAGACAAGTTCAACATATAATCCCACCTGAGGGACTTAGAGTCCCATCAAACAGGTTTATCTAAACACCTCGCTTGAGGGACTTGATGTCACCTCAAACAAGGTCCAACCTAGTGTTTTGCCTAATGAACGCAATTGAAATCTTGCCCAAGAGCCTTAACTTAAACTCTTGTTTGAGGTTTGATTGAAGTCCCTTCTGAAGGGCTCAACGCCTCGCTTGAGGAACTTGGAGTCTCATTAGACAGGATCAACATATAATCTCACCTCAGAGACTTAGAGTCCCATCAATCAGGCATATTCAAATGCCTCGCCTAATAGTCATAATGTTGTCTCAAACAAGGTCTAACCTAAGGTTTTGCCCAAGGGAAGAGATCAAAGTTTGACCCAAGAGATATAACTTAAAGTATTGTCTAAGTGTTTAATCGAAGTCCCACCCGAAGGGATTAACGTCTCGCTTGAGAAACTTAGAGTTTCATCATATAGGCTCAACATATATTCTCTCCTGAGGGACTTAGATCTCCATCAAACACACTTATCCAAATGTCTCTCCTAAGGGACTTATGTCACCTCAGACAAGGTCCAACCTAAGGTCTTGTCCAAAAACCCTAACTTTTGGCCCGAAAGCCTTTATAAATATCTTATCCTTAACACGAGAAGGAACAAATCATAACTTATACAAAATATCGCATAAACTCAAAGCTTCTCATCTCGCCTAAGTATCTTGTCTCCATAGTCAAAAACACTATAAAAAAAATTACCCACCGCTGTGAATAAACTCTAAGACCACATAAAACTAATAAAACTTTTGATCATCCTCACCAACCTAATTATTAGGCATTATGTTTTTTTTTACAACTACATAGTATAAAAATAAAAACTTACTCAAAGAGAGAAAAGGTTGCACAAAATATAAGCCGCAAAATCATGTCCTATATCAATCAATTTATCAAATAATATAACACATGATTTTCATTTAATAATTGAATTATTTTACATGAGAAAATAATATTATCTTCTTTAAAGTGCAAAAATGAAAGTCAAACAATTAGGAGGAAAGTAGCAACTAGCAAGTGCTCTTCTCACAGAAAAGCAAATGGCTGTCTTTTTCTCTCTCTTGCCCGTCCTGCCCGGTTTCTTCCTTTCACATTTCATTCCTGCCCGTCCTGCCCGTTGTTGAAAAAAAAACTCTCTTTCACATGCAAATGCTAATTCAATCTCTCTCTTTCCCTCATACATCCCCTTTGGACTCAATTTCCTCAACTGGGTTGTCTTTGTTTTAGTCATTAGTTTCATCCTTTTTGTCATTTTCACTCATAACTATGATGTTTTTGTTCTTCTGATGATGTTTTTGTGAGATTTCTTGAATTGGGTCTTTTCTATTTTTGTCTAATTTTATAACCTTGCTCTAAAGTTTGAAACTTTGTGGTGAATTTTGAATATGTAAAAGAAAATTCTAAGTGTTTTTATAAGATGGGGTTTAGGGATAATGCAATTCAAGCAGGGAGTTTGGATGTGGGGAAGAAGTCAAAGGGAAAGATGAAGAAGGATGGTGATGAGAAGGAAATTGGGTGTTGTGTTAAATTTAATTGCTTTGCAAAGTGTATACCTTCAAGATCAAAAGTTGATTCTTCTAAAAGTGGCACCACAAGTGCTTATAGTGGTAATTTCCTTTCCTTTTATGATGTTATATTTCTTTTGTTTCTGGAAATTATTCATGTTTTGCATTATTGCTAGGTAGAATTAGAAAATTTTACTTTTAATGTTTAATCTTAGGTTCTGTCAGTATTAAGCACGGACACCTCTGAAAAAGATGAGTATGTGATAGTGTCGTCGATACCAATACTATCCACATTGACATTTGTGATTACTTTCAATTTATTTATTTTTTTCAAATTATTATTTCTGTGGACTGTGATGTCCAGTATCCATGTCTATGTCTATACTATTAAGTGTCGATGTGGTGTCCGCTATGCATGTCTGGATTAGACTATGACTCTATTTGAATAAACTTATACTTAACTAAGCACTTATAGCATTATAAGCGCGTATCTTTAGTAGTGAATTTAACTGATGATAAGAAGTGTTTTTTTATTAGTGGATAAAACATCTGCATATGAGAAAAGGGAAAGGGAAAGGAGTGCTCCTCCGGGATCGTCTACAACTAGTAATGCGGAAAGTATCCCTTCTACTCCAAAGTTCAGCGAGGAGTTGAAGGTTTCTTCTGATTTGAGAAAATTCACATTCATTGAGCTAAAGATGGCAACGAGGAATTTTCGACCCGAGAGTCTTCTTGGTGAGGGAGGATTTGGATGTGTCTTCAAAGGTTGGATTGAAGAGAACGGAACTGCACCTGTGAAACCAGGTACTGGACTTACCGTTGCAGTCAAGACCCTCAACCACGATGGACTTCAGGGTCACAAAGAGTGGCTTGTATGAATGAGACTTATATACCCTTTTTCTCTCAACTATTGTTTTCATTCGATGAATTTTGCTTGCGTTACCTTTTTTGATAACATTCTTGAATTTTGTTTTTTTTTCCTTTCCAGGCTGAGTTAAACATTCTTGGTGATATTGTTCACCCAAATCTGGTTAAATTGATTGGTTTTTGTATCGAAGATGATCAAAGATTGTTGGTTTATCAGTTTATGCCCCGAGGAAGTTTGGAGAACCACCTTTTCAGAAGTATGATATTAACCACTACTACTTTTTTTGTGTATTCAGTGAGCAGGTCCGTGGTCGTTGGATCAAGATCAAACAATGCAATAAACAAGTAGGCTTTGACCTTCTCTAAAATACCGAGCTTGAAATCTGGACTGTTGTTCTCGATCCAACGGCCACTGATGTGTTGACTGTGTGAGATTTGTGACTGCAGCAAATCCAAATCCATTATCGGGTTCATAGGCTTTTAAAAATTTGAATGTGTAAGGAAATTTATTGTTTTCTGGTAACAACCATGAATTGTGCAGAAGGGTCCTTGCCTCTTCCGTGGGCTATTAGAATGAAAATTGCGCTCGGTGCAGCCAAAGGACTTCATTTTCTCCATGAAGAAGCTCAAAGGCCTATAATCTATCGGGATTTCAAAACGTCTAATATTCTGTTAGATGCGGTACGTGAGTTTGTTATGGGAAGAGGTTTTCAATTATTTTTCGATTCTTCCTCAACTTCAAAACATTAATGAAAATTTACTTTTTTAGGAATATAATGCAAAGCTATCTGATTTTGGACTTGCTAAAGATGGTCCTCAAGGTGAAAATACACATATATCAACAAGAGTTATGGGAACATACGGTTACGCAGCTCCTGAGTATGTAATGACTGGTTAGTTTCCCCTCTTATTTTTTTTGTTTCATAAATTTAAAAATTCATAATGTGATTAAGACTCTAGGGTAGGAGTGACATACGGACATGCCCGCTTTGCAAAAAAGCGATGTGGGGCGGGCAATGTAGAGGGCGGGCCTAAAACCTTGGCCTACCCCACACAAAAAAATGAGGGCGGAGCGGCCCTTATAGGACCTGCACCCCTAAAGCTTAAATGTTATAAAATTCATGTTAATTAATGTCCGCGCTCGCAAAAGCCTGCAAAAAAAATGGGGCTGACCGGGCATTGTAGAGGGTGCGTGTCTAAAATCTTTATTCACTTTGCGGATAATACTGGCATGTCCTGTGGGCCGGACCTGTTTTGCCACCCCTACTTCAAGGTCCTCTTTCGATAATCAACTAAATTAAGAGCTTATAGTATAATCACTTATCTTGTAAGTTATTATGTATAAGTTCTAAGGCTTGTCATAAATTTAAGCCTCTTTCTTCCCTAGTAGAAATTTAAGATTTTGTATCCTTTTAAGGAATTGACATAATATATGATAAATATTTGCTAATTGTTTTATACATTTTTTCCTTTCATATCTAAATTGTTTGTTTAACTATTTTGTAAATCTAGTTGTAGTAGTTATAAGAATTTTTCGATGTGAAACGAATCCAAATTATTGTCATTGTTTCCTATTTTTCTAAAATTTGTACCGGGCCTGCGATCAGTTTTAATTTTGACTAGAACTTATGATTCTGATTAGGTCATTTGACATCAAAAAGCGACGTCTATAGTTTTGGTGTAGTGCTACTTGAAATGCTCACCGGTCGACGAGCTGTTGATAAGAATAGACCGAACGGGGAACACAACCTTGTCGAGTGGGCGAGACCTGTACTAGGAGAACGAAGATTATTATTCCAGATAATCGATCCTCGTCTCGAAGGTCACTTCTCGGTCAAAGGAGCGCAAAAAGCTGCCCAACTAGCCGCCCAATGCCTTAGCCGTGATCCAAAACTCAGACCTATGATGAGTGAAGTTGTTCAAGCTCTAAAGCCTCTGCAAAACCTCAAAGACATGGCTATCACGTCGTATCACTTTCAAGTCGTGCGAGTAGATCGCACGATGTCGATGCCAAAAAACGGTACGCAAACACAGTTAACATCTTTATCGAAGAAAGGTCAACCTATGAGGATATTGTCAAGTCCAAATGGTCAAAACGGTTCTCCGTATCGTCATTACATCAAGTCGCCTAAACCTAATGGATAAGAATCGCGATTTTCACTCGCTAATTCGATTCTCTATTCATTTGGTTCCATCAACTTGTACTATTAGTTTTACAGAAAGTGTTGTGTTTTGACAATTGGTTGTGAATTTGTTATACATTTTCCACCTTTTCAGAATGTATTCTTTGTAAAGAAAATGAGTGCATGTTATTATTATTATTCATAGATATTTACTTACTCATAAGTATATAGTTATTAATGTAATCAAATGTCATACTTTGAAGGACTTTAAATTTATGGATTTAATTTGTAGTTATTATATTCCTCATGTTATTTATAGTGTTGGATTAGTTGCATGTTCGGTGCGTATTGTAATTGGTAAATGTAGTTTTAAAAAGGATGAAGGTGTAAAATTTCATCACATGTCATTAGACAAACTTTTCTTAAAATAGTAAGACGAGAAAACCTCACTACCAACATGTTTTGTCTTGATATTTACTTGGTTGATATTCGTTGATATTTACTTGGTTGATATTCGTAGATGTAAAAAATTTATTATATTTTATTTTTTTTCAAAATTTTAGATTTTTCTTCGCTAAAAAACAAGATTAAAAGATTATAATCTATAACATATATTTTTTTATATAAAATAGGTAATAATTAAAATAAATGATCAAGCTAGAATTTATTTATATTTACTATTTTCACATTGAATTATGGTAAATTAGATGTAAATATATTAATATGTTTCTTCTCCATCACCAAATTTCATGTTTCTTCGTCATTAAGTCACAGAGTTAAAATACTCTAAATGAATAACAAATAAATTACATCTACATGGCTAATCACTAATATAATATTTAAGCTCAATGTTATTTGTGATCAGTATAATCACATTGTATTATGATATAATAGATGTAAACGATTTCTATATTTTTCTTCTCCATCACCAAAAATTTCGTTTCTTCACCTCTAAGAAACTAAGTTAAGAGACTACAAATGAATGACCCATAATTTATACATATGCATAACAATTAAAATTAAATAATCAAGCTCAATATTGCTTATATTCATCGTATTCACATTGATTTATGGTATATTACATATAAAAATATTCAATATTTTTCTTCACCATCCTAAAATTTTAGATTTTTTTTATCACTAAACTAAAAACATAATAAACTATAGTAGATGTAAAAAATTAATTATATTTTATTTTTCTACTCTATCACAAAATTTTAGGTTTTCCCCATTATAAACCAAAGTTAAAAGACTATAATCCATGACGTATATTTTACATAAAATAGGTAATAATTAAAATAAATAATCAAATTAGAATTTATTGATATTTACCATTTTCACATTGAATTATGGTAAGTTAGATATAAAGATATTCAATATGTTTCTTCTCCATCACCAAAATTCATGTTTCTTCGTCACTAAGCCACATAGTTAAAAAACTGTAAATGAATAACAAATTAATTATATCTACATGGGTAATCACTAAAATTAAATATTTAAGCTCAATGTTATTTGTATTCACTATAATCATATTGTATTATGGTATAATAGATGTAAACAATTTCTATATTTTTCTTCTTCACCATCACCAAAATTTTGGTTTCTTCACCTCTAAGAAACTAAGTTAAGAAACTACAAATAAATGACCCATAATTTATACATCCGCATAACAATTAAAATTAAATAATCAAGCTCAATATTGTTTATATCATTGTATTCACATTGACTTATGACATATTACATATAAAAATATTCAATATTTTTCTTCACCATCCCAAAGTTTTAGATTTTTCTATCACTAAGCTAAAAACATAATAAACTATAGTAGACGTAAAAAGATAATTATATTTTATTTTTCTTCTCCATCACAAAATTTTAGGTTTTGCCCCACTAAAAAATAAAGTTAAAAGACTATAATCTATGACATATTTTTTTATACATAAAATAGGTAATAGTTAAAATAAATAATCAAGCTAGAATTTATTGATATTTACCATTTTTACATTGAATTATGGTAAGTTAGATGTAAAGATATTCAATATGTTTCTTCTCCATCAACAAATTTCATGTTTTTTCATCACTAATCCACAAAGTTAAAATACTGTAAATGAATGACAAATAAATAACATCTACATCGGTAATCACTAATATAATATTTAAGGTCAATGTTATTTGTATTCAATATAATCACATTATATTATGATATAATAGATGTAAACAATTTCTGTATTTTTCTTCTTCTCCATCACCAAAATTTTGGTTTCCTCACCTCTAAGAAATTAAGTTAAGAGACTGCAAATGAATGACCTATAATTTATACATACGCATAACAATTAAAACTAAATAATCAAGCTCAATATTGTTTATATTCATCGTATTCACATTGGCTTATGGTATATTACATCTTAAAATATTCAATATTTTTCTTCACCATCTCAAGGTTTTAGATTTTTTTTATCACTAAGTTAAAAACATAATAAACTATAGTAGATGTAAAAAATTAATTATATTTTATTTTTCTTCTCCATCACAAAATTTTAGGTTTTTCCCGAATAAAAAACAAAGTTAAAAGACTATAATCTATGACATATTTTTTTTATACATAAAATAGATAATAGTTAAAATAAATAACTAAGCTAGAATTTATTGATATTTACAATTTTTACATTGAATTATGGTAAGTTAGATGTAAAGATATTCAATATGTTTCTTTTCTATCAACAAATTTCATGTTTCTTCGTCCCTAAGCCACACAGTTAAAAGACTGTAAATGAATGGCAAATAAACTACATCTACAAAGATAATATCTAATATAATATTTAAGCTCAATGTTATTTGTATTTAGTATAATCACATTATATTATGATATAATAGATGTTAACAATTTCTATATTTTTCTTCTTCTGTATCACCAAAATTTTGGTTTCTTCACCTCTGAGAATCTAAGTTAAGAGACTGCAAATGAATGATACATAATTTATACATACGCATAACAATTAAAATTAAATAATTAAGCTCAATATTGTTTATATTCATCGTATTAACATTGACTTATGGTATATTACATCTTAAAATATTCAATATTTTTCTTCACCATCCCAAAGTTTTAGATTTTTTTATCACTAAGCTAAAAACATAGTAAACTATAGTAGATGTTAAAAATTTATTATATTTTATTCTTCTACCCCATCACAAAATTATAGGATTTTCTCCATTAAAAAACAAAGTTACAAGACTATAATCCATGACATATATTTTACATAAAATACGTAATAATTAAAATAAATAATCAAGCTAGATTTATTGATATTTACCATTTTCACATTGAATTATGGTAAATTAGATGTAAATATATTCAATATGTTTCTTCTCCATCACCAAATTTCATGTGTCTTCGTCACTAAGCCACAGAGTTAAAAAACTGTAAATGAATGACAAATAAATTACATCTATATGGGTAATCACTAATATAATATTTAAGCTCAATGTTGTTTGTATTGAGTATAATTACATTGTATTATAATATAATAGATGTAAACAATTTCTATATTTTTCCTCTTCTCCATCACCAAAATTTTGGTTTCTTCACCTCTAAGAAACTAAGTTAAGAGACTACCAATGAATGACCCAAAATTTATATTTATGCATAACAATTAAAATTAAATAATCTAGCTCAATATTGTTTATATTCATCGTATTCACATTGACCTATGGTATATTAAATCTAAAAATATTCAATATTTTTCTTCACCATCCCAAAATTTTAGATTTTTATATCACTAAGCTAAAAACATAATAAACTATAGTATATTTAAAAATTAATTATATTTTATTTTTCTACTCCATCACAAAACTTTAGGTTTTCTCCATTAAAAAACAAAGTTAAAAGACTATAATCCATGACATATATTTTACATAAAATAGGTAATAATTAAAATAAATAATCAAGTTAGAATTTATTGATATTTACCATTTTCACATTGAATTATGGTAAGTTAGATGTAAAGATATTCAATATGTTTCTTCTCCATCACCAAATTTTATGTTTCTTCGTCATTAAGCCACAGAGTTAAAAGACTGTTAATGAGTAACAAATAAATTATATCCACATGGGTAATCACTAAAAATAAATATTTAATCTCAATGTTATTTGTATTCACTATAATCACATTATATTATGGTAATATAGATGTAAACAATTTCTATATTTTTGTTCTTCTCCATCACCAAAATTTTGGTTTTTTCACCTCTAAGAGACTAAGTGAAGAGACCAAAAATGAATGACACATAATTTATACATACTCATAACAATTAAAAATAATCTAGCTCAATATTATTTATATTTATCGTATTCACATTGACTTATTGTATATTACATCTAAAAATATTCAATATTTTTCTTCACCATCCCAAAGTTTTAGATTTTTTTTATCACTAAGCTAAAAACATAATAAACTATAGTAGATGTAAAAAATTTATTATATTTTATTTTTCTACTCCATCACAATATTTTAGGTTTTTCCCCAATAAAAAACAAAGATAAAAGACTATAATCCATCACATATATTTTTTATATAAAATAGGTAATAATTAAAATAAGTTATCAAGCTAGAATTTATTTATATTTACCATTTTCACATTGAATTATGGTAAAGTAGTAGTAAATATATTCAATATGTTTTTTCTCCATCACCAAATTTCATGAGTCTTCGTCACTAAGGCACAGAGTTAAAAGACTGTAAATAAATGACAAATAAATTCCATCTACATGGGTAATCACTAATATAATATTTAAGCTCAATGTTGTTTGTATTGAGTATAATCACATTATATTATGATATAATAGATGTAAACAATTTCTATATTTTTCTTCTTCTCCATCACCAAAATTTTGGTTTCTTCACCTCTAAGAAACTAAGTTAAGAGACTGCAAATGAATGACCCATAATTTATACATATGCATAACAATTAAAATTAAATAATTAAGCTCAATATTATTTATATTCATCGTATTCACATTGA